GTCTCCACTCATTAATGACATTTCTTAAGATGGAAATTTTATTTGAATTAGTATTCCTTCAAGAGTTGAGGGAAAAAAACACGTGCAGATGCTATGATAGACTTTGGGTCGGGGCTGGAGGGTATAGGACCTTTTCTTGATCAACATTACTGGTAGCAAACCAGACCACCAGAGCTCTGTTCTCTGTGTGCACCTTTCAGTCTATGGGCCAAGTCTGAGGAGGCATCCCTGTCCCTAGCCAGAGGAAACCTGGTGTAGTGGAGAATCTTCAGATCCTAGTTTGTAGCAGACACATGCAGCACTGTGTTTCTTAGGGGAACGATGTCTTCATTCTTAATTCAGAAGTTTCTTTAGTTTCTGTTGTTGCAATCTGCTTTTCTTAAAATTGGTCCTCTAGAATTCAAATATCCAGAAATCTGTACAGGCTGGAGTCAGTCTCATGTGAGGCCTTCTATGGTTTCTCTTGCTGTTCCCCTGGCTCTGCGAAACTGAAGCTGATTCTGCACCTTCAAAGAATAAATTATCTTTGGAAGAATTTTAGTAACATAGGCAGCTCCTGGGCTAGGAGTGTCCAATTTGTGGGTAATTTAGGCTTGTTCTGTAATAGATTTACCCTCAACTTTGTTCTAGGGGAAAAGAGGCCCCGAATTCAAATAGATGTTTTATTAAAAAATTAAATTAAAAAAAGCCATGCACACTGCGTTGTTTGTGACTCATGGTGACCTTTTTATAGGGGTGTCCTCCAGGCTGTAAATCTGTACGGGAGAGCAGATGGCTGCATCACCCTCCTGTGGATTGGCTTGCGGGTTTGAACTGTTGAAAATCCTTTATTAAGTTTTAAATAGGACAAGACGAGGAAGACCAAAACAAATCATCTGGATTAGAGAGCCCATCATCATGAGGTCTTAATAGTGGCCAAAGACTCACAACCACGTGAGTAATTATATAGAACACGGGTGGAGAGGTTGTTATAAGACCATGAATGGTAACAGATCAATCCATCACAGTTGCAAGCAGGATTCCAGAAGTGGGGAAGAAACCATGACTGGGACATGGACACTGTTGCCAATTAGAGATGCTTACAGGATTGGCTCTGGGGCCCTGGGATCACTTTGGTTGGGGTTGACTCATCACAGCGCAATTCTGGTACCTCAGTTTCCTTTCAGAGTACACCTGAGGGCCACTCTGCCCCTCCCAGAGCGGGCTAGAATAGTTGGAGGAACCCTGTTTCATACACCACTTGAGGGCCATGTTTGTTTTTTTTTTCCTTTCCAGGTTAATGGTCAGAAAATAGACTCAATGAAAGCTGACTTTATGTCAAGACTGAAATGGATTTAGGATCCTTATTGTAAACTCTAACTCCAGCGAACCACGTGCTCAGAATTTAAGCTCTAATTACTTTGAAATGATTGGCCCAGCCTCTCCAAAACCAAACTCACTGCCATTGAGTTGGCTCAGACTCCTAACCAAAGTGCACATCGTTATGGGCACGTACAAACTCAACTCTCTCCCGAGAAGCAGCTGGGGGGTTTAAAGCCCTGACTGCGCTGTGAGCAGCTCAACACTGTCACAATAGTTGGTCAGACTCATAGCAACCAGCGGTCCTTAACCAACCCCTTCTCACAACAAATGCTTCATCACAATCGCCCTCACTGGTTGCACCTGAAAAGACTAACAGCAGTACTTCCAAAAATGGGTCATCCCACCTTTGGGTTCAATGCAGAATGAGACACTGAATTATCCAGGAGGGCTGCAAAAACAGATACCTACATTTTATCCTGAGTTTTGGGCTGTAGTACAAAAGTTTTTACTTGTCAAGGGGGTGCTGAGTAATTTTTTTTTCTGAAAAGGGAGTGGTGGGCCAAATAAGTTTGGGAGTCTAAGGCTTAGAGCTTTTTCCTAAACTAGAAAACCCACCCGATGCCATTGAATTGATTCCAACTCATAGTGACCCTGTGGACTAGCGTAGAGATGCTCCATAGGTTGTCTGAGACTGTAAATCATAACCAGAGCAGACTGCCTCATCTTTCTGGTGGGTTAGCAGTCCCACCAGAAGGGCCGACTTCCTTCCTTAAAGACACATGAGAAATAGACCTCGTTTGTAACCCAGAGATTGCCTGTGTGTGTTTTATTGTACTTTCATAAAAATCAGTAATCAATTTGGGAAGTATCAGCGAACCAGAAATGCCTTATGTCCCAACTATATCTGTGTGCTGAGCAAACCAGAGAAGCTGCACTGTACGGAGAAGAACACGGCACCAGGACGCAAGGGAGGCTTGTGAACAACATGCCGCATGCCGACGGCTCAGCCTTGCTTGCTGAAAGCGAGGAGGACCTGCAGCACAAGGATTGCAGCCTTCAGTGTGCAGGACAACCTATTGTCAAGAAAACCAAGATCCTCACAGCTGCACCAATAGGGAACCTTATGATAAGTGGAGAAAAGATTGGTGTTGTCAAGGATTTTACCTTGTTTGCATCCACAATCAGCGCTCATGGAAGCAACAGTCAAGAAATCAAAAGACCCATGGCATTGGGAAAATCTGCTGCATTAGACCTCTTTAGAGTATTTAAAAGCAAGGATGTTACTTTGACTAAGGTGTGCCTGACCCAATCATGGTATTTTCAATTGCCGCCTATGCATGTGAAAGTTGGTCAGCGAATAAGGAAGACCAAAGAGAAATGATGCCTTTGAATTATGTGCTGGTGATGAATACTGAAAATACCGTGGTCTACCAAAGAACCAACAAATATGTCTTAGAAGAATACTCCTAAGAAGCAAGGATGACAAGACTTTGTCTTCCATACTTTGGTCATGTCATCAATGCTGATAGCAACTTCTTGGGAGTTTCTGAGACTGTAACTGTGTATGGGAGTAGAAAGCCAAATCTTTCTCCCTCAGAACTGCTGGTGGGTTCAAACTGCCAACCATGTGGATTGCAGCCCAACTTGAAACCACTATCATGACCCCTGGAAAAGGAAATCATACTTGGTGAAGTAGTGGGCCAGCAAAAACGAGGAAGACCTTTGAGTAGTTAGTTTATTGTACCAACCTGGCCGATAAACACATGTGGGGTTAATTGAAGGGCGGAGGGATAAAAGGCTCGGTCAGCCTCGCTTTTCTAGTTCTCGGGTCTCTTGCTTTGTGATGGTCGGCCCAGAGTGCAGCTGCCTTAGCCAGCTCCTTGCTTTAGCTGGCAAGGCTTACTTCCTGCCACATGGATCTACCCCAGTGCAGCCCTGAGTGCTGGAGCAGCCGTGTGGAGACCCCCGCCCGTGCTGAGATGCTTACACATTCACTGACTTGGCTTTCCTCCTGCAGTCAGCATCGTTGTGAGTGTTTTGTGAGATGGAGGAGGACTTTGTGGATTGGTGTCGGACATATGGGTTAATGTTGGACTTGTGGGCTTGGGCACTTGGGCATCACTGGATTGGAATGTTTTCTTGATGTGCACTTTATATAAAACTTTATAAAACCTTTGTATAAAACTCTCTCTCCTACATGAGTTTCTGTGGATTTGTTTCTCTAAAGAACCCAGACTAATACAACCTTCGACCAGATGGATTGACTAGCTGCAATGATGGGCTTAAACATGAAAAATGATTGTGAGGATGGCATTGCTTTGCTTGTTGTACATCAGGTCACTATGGGTCATAACAATGATTCTCCTGTTTCTTCCCTTTCTTCACCTTCACATAAATATCATTGTCCGCTTCCTGTTTGCTTTGCTCTTTGGTCCCTATGTACTTTTGACTGAGTCATTGGTGAGAAGGCACCAACTCAGGAAGTATGACTTGGATAAATAATGATAAAGGCTGTCAGAGCAAGTGCTCTGTTCCACACAGAGCTCACTTACCCACCTGGCCTGCTCTGCTGCACTTGTGGACTCTGTGCTAACTAGGCTGATAGGAGACCTCTTGTCCTGCCAATCATATTCCAGCTCTTCCTGGAGCCGTAGTTGACAGGCCGAGTATTGGCCAGAGTTCAGTCTTCCACCCCTTAGCCTGGATAGATCGCTTTGCTTCTGTGAACTCCAGGTTCCCATTTGTAAAACGGGCAGTTTATAGTAGGCATCTTTGAAAACCTGTTCTGCTTTAGCACTTTATGACTCTTTTATTCCCACCCGTGTGAGACACTGCCACCACACCCTGACCCTGATGGCCTAGCTGCAAGCCTGATCGAAAACCTGTCTGGCTCTTGAGACATTGGGTTTCTGGTCCTGATGGCTGAGGCTGCCGTTTAGAGAGTGAGGTAGGCTGCACATGCTGACTGTGGTACCAGGGGATTGCAGTAGACGCATGGTGCATGACTGAGCCACTTGCTGAGTTTCAGAAAGGAGCAAGGTCTGGGCTATGGGTGTCAGGGGGCCTGAGACAGGGCCTATAATTGGCATTGACACACACAGAAGCTTTTAAAATGCAGAATTGAGGGTCAGGGGGCTTGTTTTTGAGGCTTTTGTACATCTTTTCATGTGGTTGGATTTATCTTTTATTTTAGGGCTTCAGGCTATCTTTAGAGTAAGGTCCTTTTCTTGTGTGATTTTGTCATGGAAGTTGTCATATCGAATTAACGTCAAATGACAAAATAGTATGGATAAACCACAACTAACCAGCCAATAGAGACGTGTAAGCAAATAAGGTCTTTTCTAGCTCCACTCCCAAGTCACTGAAGAGGTTGCTTGCATGTGCTTCTTTCCACACTTTCTCTATGTGCACAAACAAGTATTCAGATATAAGTCCTCCGGCTTTATTCTGTCTCACTTTCTTTCTTTTTTTTTTTTTTTTAACAAATATAGAATCCTACTATAAACATTGCTACTCAATTTTTTTCAACTAATATTAAAGGCACATTCTGTAACTTGAGGGCCCATAGAATGGTGTGTTTACCACTTTGCTCAGTGAACTAAAGTGTCAGCCATAGCTATTAGTAAACAAATAGAGTGACATGCTTAGATGTGGAAGACTATGTTTATACTCTGTTGTTTGTATCTTCATTATTTTAGGTTTACCATTATGGACACAATATCAGAAGCAAACAGCACCTTTGCCTTGAGCCTCTTGCAAAAACTGGGTGAGAACAACTCCAGAAATGTGTTTTTTTCACCCATGAGCATCTCCTCTGCCCTGGCCATGGTCTGGATGGGAGCCAAGGGAAACACCGCCATCCAGATGAGCCAGGTAACTAAAACCACTTCAAGGCAGCAATAAATAGCCTTCCTTTGTCAGATGAGTTGGTCTTTGACCATTCAGAACCTTAAACCATCACTGTGTTAGTCTGGGTAGACTAGAGAAACAAATCCATAGAGACTCATGTGTATAAGAAAGAGCTTTATATACAAGAGCAATTGAATATTGAGAAAACATTCTAGCCCAGTCCATATCAAGTCCATAAGTCCAATATTAGCCCATATGTCCAATACCAATCAATAAAATCCTCTTCAGACTCATTCAACACATGCAATGATACCAAATACAGGAAGATCACAAGCCAGTGGGTGGGAAATCTTATGGATCCAGTGATGGTAGAGGCATCTCAGCGCTGGCAAGGGTCTCCACATGGTTCCTCCAGCTTAGGGCACTAGGGTAGCTTCTTGCATCTTGTTAGCAAGCATGTCTTGCAGGGAGTGAGTAGAGAGTATGTCGTTTGCCTCCAAGGAGGAAATACAGGAGTTCCCTCAAGAGAAGGCCATGGCCACACAAGAGGCCTCATTGGTTATATCCTGATTGACAGGCTAGACTCTACCCCTACACTCTTAATGCTCAAATTGACACCGGATTATGTAACTCCCACAATCACTCTGAACTAAATACCTCAGCTCATCTCTCAACAGTATGGAGGAGAAGGCATGTTACCTATGCCTGACCACTCTGTGGTGAGTGCCTCCCCTTGGGTAGGGGCAGAGTGCTGAGCACTCTCTTAAGAAGAGTGGATGATTTCATCACCAAGCTGTATTAGCTTGTACATGCATTTGTAAGTAGATGTACAATCACAGATTTCAATTTGAGTCATGAAATGATCAACTGTTTTACAGTTGTCAAAAATAGCCTCTTGTGTATATTTTCTCGTTCAAATTTAAAACTCTTAAAGAATGGTCCTCATCAAGCAAAAATGCTTTCAGTAATCACTCAGCTATTTGAGTAGCCAAGACCCCCAAACTGAGTGTGTTCAAATGGTGACTCACTACCCTGTGAAGCGGTGCATGGGCTGGGTATGGCTTCTCCTCATTGAGTACTGGTTGGCACCTCAGTTCTCTTACTCCTGCCTCCCCACCCCATGTTGCTTCCCAAGGACCCTTCCTTCACGTGGCCTATTGCACAAGGTAGCTGGACCTCCTTACAGCATAGCATCTGGGCTTCAAGAGAAAGCTTTCTAAAATGATCTGCTTGTTTTGTAAGTGCGTATCAAGCCCCTGTTTGTGTCATGCTTGCCGGCAACCCCTTGACTAAAGCCAGACACACAGCCAGGTCAGCCAATGAGAGGAGCAACACCAGAGTGTGAGCCTTGGAGGCTTGGCTCGTGGGTGCCACCAGTGCCTATTAGAGTCTGCCTCTGGCCTCTAATGAGTCACATTCCTCCTACAGGTAAAGAAATCAAAGTCTCCTCCCATTATGGGACCAGACTCAAGCTTGAGGTTCAGGCTTGAACCTCTTTAAAAAGCTAGGTGAAAACAAGGGGAAAATGATAGAATGGAGGTTCATCAGGTATGACTCCTTAGGTACAACCCCTCAGTGCAGAGATTTGTGAACGAAAATGATAAACTATCTGTCCTACCTACCTCACCCCAATATGGACTGGTGAGATGGATTAGCTACAGTAGACCCATTCAGAAAAGTGGTGGAATATGGGAGGCACATGGCAGACACTGAGCTATTAGGAGTTCCCAAGCCAAGCCAGGTCCATGATGCCAGTTCCCATGAACCATTCCTATGCCATGACCTGCCGTGGCCCTTGGAGTTACCTTCTGCATTTTTTGCTTAAAAACACCCTACTATCAAGTCGATTCCTGCTTATAGTAGCTGTACAGGACTGAGTAGAACTGCTCCTTATGGTTTCTGAGACTATACTGCTGACCTTGAGCTTAGTAGCCAATGCCACAATGCCACTAGGCCTTGATTCTTGGCTTTGTTCTCGGCATTTTCTGTTTCTTTAAGAAATGACCCATGTTACTGCTGAGAAGCTCTCTCGGGTGCTTCCTTCTCTAGAAATGGGGAGCCTGGCACCTCTTACTTTGACCTTTCTCCCCTTGTTCCAGGTTGTTGCTGCTCCTGTAAAATCTTTGTGGATTTTCAGCATACTAATGTCTAGTCCGTTCCGTATATAACTTTTTGTCATGAGACAAGCCGCATGCATAACTCTGATGTGGGGTGGGCTGTGTATTGTGATGCTAGCGAGAGTGCATTGGGACATTGTCCTTCACCTCTTTGTCTAGTGGGGAGAGTCTGTGACACCCTGTATAGGCCAGGAGCATTCCTAAGCTGAGCCATTCTGCAGCCTTAAGGAAAGACTTGTAAATCCATCCCTAACGATACTTAGAGGATTCGGTTTCCTGAAGATGGTATTATAGGGAGACCTCAGAAGAGCCGCAGGCAAGGAGACAAGAGGGTTTGAAGATACTTGCTAATGTTAGTGGGGTTCATCCTGTAAGGTAGAGTCTGTACAGGAGCTCCGATGGTGCACTGGCTACAGCACTCGACAGCTAACCAGAAAGTCAGTGGTTCGAACCTACCAAACACTCTGAGAGAGAAAGCTGTGGCAGTTTGCTTCCATAAAGACTGCAGCCTTGGAAGTCTTGTGGGCCATTCTACACTGTCCTGCAGGATCGTTATGAGTCAAACTGCCTTGATGGCAACAGGGAAGATGTGTAAAGTCCCCAGTGCTGGGGTTAGTGCTGCACCGTTTCTCAAAGTCAGGGGATGTTGTCCATGTGTTCCTATTCTGTTTTGATTCTAGGCACTTTCTTTAAATAAAAGCCCAGGTGGCGGTGGAGATGTGCACCAAGGCTTCCAGTCGCTTCTCACTGAAGTTAACAAAACCGGCACTCAGTACTTGCTCAGAACGGCCAACGGGCTCTTTGGAGAAAAGACCTGCGATTTCCTCTCGGTAAGCAATCCTTGATTTTCACAAAGAAAATAGAGGTGGTGAGATGGGGGGGAGGACGTAGCGGTCGAAAGGGCAGAGCACAGAGCGTGTGCTCTGACGTCGTACAGGTGGTCTGAGTCCACACAGCTCCTTGTGCTCCTCTGTAAAATGGGCCTTGTCACGAAAGCAGTGCAGATGTTGTGAAGCCTACACGAGCATGAGTACGTGTGAAAGAAAGGGCCGTGGAGCACAGGGAAACTTGAGATGCATCAGCCAAAGCAGGAACAGTCAAGAAGGATGTTTCTAGTTTCTGCTTTTTCACATGCTAATAGAGGCATTCATTTTCTTTGTTCAGTGCTTTGTGCAGCTTACACAAGTTGCTACACATTTCATTATTTAGATTGTTTTTTAATATATGAAAGTTTTTGTTTCTTTTCTTTCTTTTTTTTTTTGCTTTATTTGCTTGATAATATGACTTTTTTTCTTTTTAAACCACTGCTTTTTCCCCAGGCAGCGGCCAAAGGTAGTGGAGGGACAGGTCCTGGGGTGGGATAGCTGAGGCCACCTCCTGCGCTGCCCGTGGCCATTATGGCCAAGTGGGTGCTGCTGAGATGGAAGGTGGTAGTTGTGTGCTGTGAGCGCTTTGAATGTCTGGCAAGTTCTACAGACAGAAACAAGCTGAAGCACCTGGCCTTCCTCCACAAGTGCGTGGACACCAACTCATCCCTACCACTTCCAGGTCCTCAGCCACATCTTTTGGCAGATTCTGCAAGTCATGCTGCCTCACAAGAACGGTCTAGATTTGCTGGCTACCCTGGGCAGCCTCAAGGTGTTTGTCAGGATTCTGCACCCCTCCCTTCCCACTACTGACAATAAAATGTGTGTGGTGGTTCCTACGTGCCCTCAAAGCTGTACATCTCAAGCCACCATGTCAGTGTGTTTACCTGGCCCACCTGCCTCACAAGGTGGCCTGGAAGTTCCAGGCAGTGCTAGCCACCCTGGAAGAGGATAACTGAGTCATCCAGCATGGTAGGTAGTTGTTGTCCAAGCACTTGTGGAGGAAGGCCAGGTACTTCAGCTTGTTTCTGTCTGTAGAACTTGCCAGAAATTCGAAGCCCTCACACCAACTACCACCTTCCGTCTCAGCAGCACCCACTTGGCCGCAGAAAGCTGCTTTTTACAGGAAGCCATTACATGAGGCTGTAGACGTAGGTTGAGAAGAACCAGAGGTAGAAAATCAACATACACACTGAGATCCTCAAGACCTCAGGACTCCTTGTCTGAGCCCACAAAGACTTTCAATTCCTCACCGACTTGGCCTGCCCTTCTTCCGTTGCTGCCCTGGGACATGGGGGCCTCCCTGGCCACAGAAATATCCAGGCCACAGACGTCATGTTAGAAGTTTCCATAAATGGGTAACAAGCAACTAGTCACTTGGGTTGCAATACTTTTGCAAAAGTGGGCTGGGAAACTACTGTGTCATGTTGCCTCTCAAGTGCCCATGGCCATCAAGTTGATTCTGATTCATGGCCACCTACAGAAGGGAGTAGAACTGCCTTCTGGGTTTTCTGAGGCTGTAAATCTTTACCGGGTCAGACCGCCTCATATTCCTTCCATGGAGTGACTTGTGGGTTTGAATGAATGACCTTGTGATTAGTGGCCCAACACATAACCTAATACACTTCTTATTTGCTTATAGAGTAATGCAAATTCCTATATTTTTAAATTCTAAAAAGAGCAATTAAAATTCTAGCTGTCAGTTGTTCCAAATAAAAAAATTGGATAACTCTTCCGTAATGCACTGTTAACACATAATTATTTTAATTCTTAACATTGTCTAACATAGAGTAAAAGATAAAGATTGAATTTTTGAGGGTTGATCACATTCCGTAACTGCGTCATCCAGCATGGTAGTCATCAGCCGCATGTGGCTATTTGAATATCAGTGTTATTAATTAGATTTGAATGTTAAGACCTTCAGCCCCACCAGCCACATTCCAAGTGCTCAACAGCCACACATGGCACCATATTGGGCCGGGAGAATCTAGAACATTCCTATAGTCAGAGAACATTCTGGCACAGGCAGCTATTATTGGTCCCTATAATTTTTGGTACAGTGGTCTTGTTCTGGGATTGAGAGGGTGCTGTGGCCCAGCTGTGGTAAGCCTCGGCAGCAGTTTTCCAGAGCATCTCCCTGTCTTTACTATCCCATGGGTGTGCAGCACTTTCCTCAAAATGATTGCTGGTTTGATTTGTTGCTCTGAAGAAGCAAACTTATTATTGTGCTTGTAACTGTGCCACGATAATGTTCTGTTCTAGTCTTTCAAAGATTCCTGCCACAAATTCTACCAAGCCGAAATGGAAGAGCTGGACTTCGCTCATGCTACCGAGGAGGCCAGGAAACATATCAACACCTGGGTAGCCAAGAAGACAGAAGGTGAAAAGATTTTGTTGCCCTACTTCGATTGTATCTTACTCAGTCTTCTTGTTCACCCTGCATAAGACTGTCACATGCAAACAAGAATGCCTTTTTTTTACTCTAAATAACGAAAAATCTGCACCTGAAATATTGCCAATGTATGATGTTTTCTGAAATATTGTCAATGGATGATATTTTCTGTAGCTTTTCCCGGCTTTCACAAAAGTACCTGATGTCTCTCAATGTTTGGGACATCCCTTCCAGAATAATGTGCACTTTAAATGTGTATTTTGGGTTTTGTAAGTTGATATTAGTGTCTTAGTTACCTACTACTGCTGTAACACAAGATCCTTGGTTGACGCAAATGGTTTGCACTTGACTACTGAAGAAGTGAGGCTTCAACCTCGCTGGTGGTGCCATGCAAGAAAGGCCTGGCGACCTCTTTCCATTGAAGGGTGAAGCTGAGAAACCCCAGTGGAACACAGCTGCACTCTAACACCTGAGGTGTGTTGGGCTGGGTTTTCCAGAGAAACAAAACCAGTGACACTCATATTCGTATAAGAGAGAACTTTAGATCAACAAATACGTTTATATCAAGAAGACATTCCAGCACAGTCCACCTCAAGTCAATGAGTCCGGTGTTAATTGGAACCCTCTTCAGACTCACATAGCCTCAGGTTAATGGCTCAGAAGTGTAAAGTAGGAGCAGGGAGATCACAGCCGGTGGGTGCAGAGCGTCAGTGGGTGCAGAGCGTCAGTGGAAACATGGGAGTCTGCTGACGGCTCGGCTCGGAGGTTGGCTCCCTGGTCAGTGGCCCACTTGGGGCCCCTTATGGAGGCAGATAGAGTCCCAGCAAGCAGGGAGAACACAGGAGCAGAGAGATAGGGAATTTTCTACTGTTTCCTTTTTTAAAAAGCTACACTCCCCAGGAGGCATCATCAGGCTGTGACCTGATTGATAGGCTGGACCTCATACAGCTTCAAACTTGATCTAAAATCTAACTACCAAATGGGGTCTCCTTGTGTCTGAATCAGTCCACGGCAGAGTTTTCTTTTGGGGTTTTTTCCTGCAATAACAAGTGGGTAACTTTATGGAACAGAAATCTTGCCTGAAAGCCCATTTTGTCAGAAATTAATATTACCACTCCTGCTGTTTTTTTATTGCTATTAGTTGGATTTTAAATTTTTTTCCAGCTCTTTGAGTTTCAGTCGATTTCTTTCTTTGTGTCTAAGATATGTCTCTTTTAGACAGCATATTGATGGGTCTTGTTTTCTTTATCTGTCTGCTACTCCCTATCTTTTGACTGGTGCCTTTAGTCCATTTACATTCCATATAGTTATCAGTAGGCAGGAATTTATTGCTGCCATTTTGCTATGTGATGTGTGTGTGTGTGTGTGTGCATGCGCGCATGCACGCGGTGTAGTTGGTTTTCCCCACATAACTTCTGTGCTGAGTTCACTTGTGTTTGTAGGTTTTCTTGTCATTTTCTTCACTATTGTTTTAGTGTTTACTAGGTCCTTATTATTTTCCTCTTTTTTATTTTGATGGGATTTATTCATTTTGTGTAATTTATTAATTTCTCCCCAAGTTTAAAAGTCTCTCTGTCTTGAAATCTACTTACTTTTGGATGTGGTGTTACTATACTATTCCCTCTATTTCTTTTGTAATTGGTTTTGTTACTAATTGATATCTGTAGTTCTCTATTTCCAGTCTTGTAACTTGGTTTAAGGAGTACTAGTGGTATGGTAGGCTACACAAGGTCAGCAGTGTGAGGTTTCTGAGGATATAAATCCTTTTTCAAAAATCATTTTATCCGGAGCTCTTAAAGATGTTGTAACAATTTGTAATTCAATTAGGTCATAGATGACTATACAATTGCTGCCACCATCAGTTTCAAAACATTTTCATTCTTCTTGAACTCCTTGATATCAGCTCCCCTTTATCCCCTCCCTCCTCTGCCCGGCCCCCAGGAGTCCTTACTGTTATGTTATATGAGCTATAAATTATTATTGTTGTTGTTATTGTCCGTGTCTTACACCGTCCAATATATCCATTCACCCGCAACTCAATTATTCGTTTCCCTTGAGTGGGATTATACAGTCATCATTGCTATCAGCTCCCTCTTCCTCCCCGCCCCCCACCCACTCTCTTCCTGTACCCTCAGGGAATCATTGCTCCCATTGCTGTTTCTGAAGGGTTGTCTATTTTGGCTTTCATGCATCAATAGATCTTAGTTATACACCTGCGCGTACTCAGGTCTAACTAGGTTAATGAGGTGAGACAAGAACCATAATAGTGAGGAGGGGGTAATATTAAAGAACTAGAGGATAGTTGTGTGTTTTATCAGAGCTATATCACATCCTGGACTAAACATGTGTGGTCCTTCTGTGAGAGACTGACCAATTATCGTTCAGGTGGGCTTTGGGCCTCCACTCTCTGCATGCTCCTTCACGTCTATTTGATTGCTTGGGCTTTTTTGTTTGCTCGTTTTTTTAACTTCTGATACTTATTCCTGCGGACACCTCATGATCACATAGGCTGGTGTACTTCTTCCATGTGGGTTTTATTGCATCCCTGCTAGATGGCCACTTGTTTGACTTCAAGCCTTTAAGACCCCAGAGAAATATCTTTTAATATCTGGGCATTTGCTAATGTACTTCTTTTGTCTTCAGTGATCATGTCAGGAAGGTGAGCATCATACAGTAACACATTAATAGAACAGGCTGTTTTTGTACTGAGGTAAGATCTGAGTAGAGGCCCAAAGTCCATCTGCTTCCTTGTTGTATTACATATATGTATATATATATGTTGGACAACTATACCTATCTTTATATATTTGCATATATGCATATCTATGTTTATCCCTATATATATCAATTCTAATTTCTTCTACCTTTTTTTCTACCTTTCTATTTCCCTTTTTTCTTTCGTCCTGCCCCACCAGCATGATACCTGTCATTCTCCTGTCTGTAGTTCCTCTCGGATACATTTCAATTGATCAGACATGAACAGGAACTCTGCACCCTCCTCATTATTTGTTTTAGTACCCTTGCTTTTCCTCTGTCCCTGTAGTTGTTGGCTCACTGCTCCCCTCCCTCCACCTCCTCCCCTCCAATGACCCCCCCCATGGGTCCTGTCACTATCTCCTTGGGCTTGTTTATCTGTCAGGGCTTGTTGCCTGTCTCAAATAGATAGATATGCAAAAGGACAAAAAATGAAAAGATAAGACTAGGTAAATAGTTCCGTGTCTGGTTGTTATCCTGTCCCAGAGTAGATGAGTATCTCTCTGTTAAACAGGGGGGAGGACTTGCTATACCCGTCAGTCCC